CATTTATAATATGAGCTTTCCTTTTATAATTCTTCCCTCTTTTTTTAAAGTCTCAGAAGTCTGTTAGTATTGGCTGTCCTAATGGCTGGACTCACTACCGGAGGAACTGCTATATTTTGGGGCCTGGTATTGCAAGCTGGAGCAGCGCACAACATGCTTGCATGCTGTACGTTACACATCTTTTCTGTCAAAGAAACATGCACATCCATGCATTCATACTACATATAATTTTTAAATAATAATGCTATGATTCAAAATTTAGGCTTGAAAGTGAATTGGTTAGTATCCACTCCAAGACTGATATGAAGTGGATGTGGAAGTTTGCTGGAAAGCAATCATTCTGGATTGGTAAGCAAATGAAATGTATTTTTAGGAACCGTCACATTCCTGATTGTAAATTGTCCCGTATATAAGCATATTGGTGTGATTTGTGCAGGGCTCACTGGCGGTCCAAAACAGTGGTCGTGGACAGATGGAAAACTGCTGACGTTCTCCAAACTCAGGAAGGATCACAAGGAGCACGCCAGCGCTGCTGCCAGCTGTGTTTTAGCTCAGAGCCAGAAGATATGGATTCCTAAACGTTGCATCGATGGATCCGAACACGGATACATTTGTTCAGCACCTGCACAAATCAGTTAAAACAGATATTTAATTTATAATGCTCTTGTTTTTTAATGATTTAAAATACATTGTAGCCATCGAAGTGCTGAATAATTATATTGCAGTGCACAATGACATGCTTTCTTGGGTTATTAATATAAATACAATTAATATCAAATAAAAGTGATGACAACAATTTTTATATTTATGGAGTTATTTATTTGTGCACTATATAAATGATTATCTATCTTTCTATCTGTTGTCTGTCTGTCGTTCTATCTATTGTCTATCTACCTGTCTGTCTGTTCTATCTATTATCTGTCTGTCTGTTCTATCTATTATCTATCTACCTGTCTGTTCTATCTATTATCTGTCTGTCTGTTCTATCTATTATCTGTCTGTCTGTTCTATCTATTATCTATCTACCTGTCTGTTCTATCTATCTATCTACCTGTCTGTTCTATCTATTATCTATCTACCTGTCTGTTCTATCTATTATTCTATCTACCTGTCTGTTCTATCTATTATCTATCTATCTACCTGTCTGTTCTATCTATTATCTATCTATCTACCTGTCTGTTCTATCTATTATCTATCTATCTACCTGTCTGTTCTATCTATTATCTATCTATCTACCTGTCTGTTCTATCTATTATCTATCTATCTACCTGTCTGTTCTATCTATTATCTATCTGTCTATTGTCTGTCTGTCGCTCTATCTATTGTCTATCTCTCAATCTATCTGGTATCTATCTATTGTATGTCTGTAGTTCTATCTATCTGTCTATTGTCTGTCTGTCAATCTATCTGTCTATTGTATGTCTGTCGTTCTATCTATTGTCTGTCTATCTATTATCTATCTATCTATTGTCTGTCTGTCTATCTGTCATCTATATGTAATCTATCTATTGTATGTCTGTCGTTCTATCTATTGTCTGTCTGTTCTATCTATTATCTATCTGTCTACCTGTCTGTTCTATCTATTATCTGTCTGTCTGTTCTATCTATTGTCTATCTATCTACCTGTCTGTTCTATCTATTATCTGTCTGTCTGTTCTATCTATTGTCTATCTATCTACCTGTCTGTTCTATCTATTATCTACCTGTTTGTTCTATCTATTATCTGTCTGTCTGTTCTATCTATTATCTACCTGTCTGTTCTATCTATCTATCTACCTCTCTGTTCTATCTATTATCTACCTGTCTGTTCTATCTATCTATCTACCTCTCTGTTCTATCTATTATCTACCTGTCTGTTCTATCTATCTATCTACCTCTCTGTTCTATCTATTATCTACCTGTCTGTTCTATCTATCTATCTACCTCTCTGTTCTATCTATTATCTACCTGTCTGTTCTATCTATCTATCTACCTCTCTGTTCTATCTATTATCTACCTGTCTGTTCTATCTATCTATCTACCTCTCTGTTCTATCTATTATCTACCTGTCTGTTCTATCTATCTATCTACCTCTCTGTTCTATCTATTATCTACCTGTCTGTTCTATCTATCTATCTACCTCTCTGTTCTATCTATTATCTACCTGTCTGTTCTATCTATCTATCTACCTCTCTGTTCTATCTATTATCTACCTGTCTGTTCTATCTATCTATCTACCTCTCTGTTCTATCTATTATCTACCTGTCTGTTCTATCTATCTATCTACCTCTCTGTTCTATCTATTATCTACCTGTCTGTTCTATCTATCTATCTACCTCTCTGTTCTATCTATTATCTACCTGTCTGTTCTATCTATCTATCTACCTCTCTGTTCTATCTATTATCTACCTGTCTGTTCTATCTATCTATCTACCTCTCTGTTCTATCTATTATCTACCTGTCTGTTCTATCTATCTATCTACCTCTCTGTTCTATCTATTATCTACCTGTCTGTTCTATCTATCTATCTACCTCTCTGTTCTATCTATTATCTACCTGTCTGTTCTATCTATCTATCTACCTCTCTGTTCTATCTATTATCTACCTGTCTGTTCTATCTATCTATTGTCTATCTATCTACAGTATCTGTCTGTCTGTCGTTCTATCTATTATCTATCTGTCTGTCTGTCGTTCTATCTATCTATTGTCTATCTGTTGATCTATCTATATGTTACCTATCTATCTATTGAATGTCTGTCGTTCTATCTATTGTCTGTCTGTCTATCTATCTACAGTATCTGTCTGTCTGTCGTTCTATTATCTATCTATCAGTCTGTCTGTCGTTCTATCTATTATCTATCTATCTATCGGTCAGTGTATTTAATATTATAACCATAGATTTATTAGGAGACATCATAAAATAATCCATTCCATACATATATTTTTAGTGTAGAAACCAATATATTTTGTGTCTATTTTAAACGTTGTTCCGGGCGGTAATGCACCAATACGCTGGATGCCAACCGCCGTAAAAATATAAGAAGAAGAACGTTGTTCCTTCCGAATCCGGACACTCAGATGTGGGACGGGGAAAAGATGGCGGCGGCCGTTGTACAGATGTCATGTTTGTACCGCGGGATGTTGGCGGTGAGAGCCACTGGAATCCGACCGCTGATTCTACTGTAACATCAGGTCAAAACCTCAAGAATATAAAGCCCGGCTGGAGAAGCGCAGTGAAGTGAAGACAGAGCCGCTGGGACAGTGCAGACAAGCGGAGTTCGTCAAGTAACGTTACATGGAGAGAGGTGATGAGCACAGCTTACATTTGATTTGCAATTTTCATTTAGAAATTTACCTTCGTGGTCTGATAGATTTTGATCCATACTTGTAAATTACTTATACGTTTAACGTGTTATTTTTTATATTTTACTATATATTTCGTTTAAATTGCATTTATTGTATTATGTAATGAATTAAATTGTATTTGTGTTATTTTATTATATAATTTAACATTATAATCCAATTATTGTTTAGTAAATGTAATATATGATAATATAATAAACATTTAATATAATACAATATGTAGGAAGACATATAATTTGCCCATTTTGTTGTATTTGTAGCTGGTAGCAGGACCTGGGGGCTTCACCAAAGATAAGGTAAGCTATTAGTTACCTCATTGGTATTTAAATGGTAAATTAGAGATTTACAGTTTATCATTTGCATCTTTTGCTTTTTTTCTTCTTCTTATTTTATAGACATTAGGGTCTATTCTCAACCTTGATATGGATTTGCCCATTTTGTTGTATTTGTAGCTGGTAGCAGGACCTGGGGGCTTCACCAAAGATAAGGTAAGCTATTAGTTACCTCATTGGTATTTAAATGGTAAATTAGAGATTTACAGTTTATCATTTGCATCTTTTGCTTTTTTTCTTCTTATTATTTTATAGACATTAGGGTCTATTCTCAACCTTGATATGGTTCAGGAGAAATCTGGATCTGAAATTGCAGAGGTAAGAGGAAGAATATTAATAAAACAAAATGTGTTTACAGTCTTAGCATGCCGTTAGAATGTACTGTAAAAATATATAAAAATATTAAATAGACCACTACACCAAATCTTCTGTGTGCAGCTATGGATGCAGTACTTCTCAAAGAAAGACACAATCAGTGCCGACATCCCAGTGAGTTCTGTTTTATATATTATTATCCATCAGTCTATTAACTCCTGTAATAACAATGTCATAAACTGTTAATAATTTTGTCATCAGATCTATATTTTTACCCAAGATGAATGACCTTGTAATTCTCTGTTTTAGGGTTCAACCTTTGACATTATTTTTGGTGTCATACCATCAACATAACCCTGCAAAATGCTAAATGTCCACTTGGTGGCAGTAGATACTTTCAAGAGTGGCCTTCATGAGTCCAATCATGAGGAGTTTGTCTTATGAATATCCTGATCATAGGCTATCTGTGGCCTCTGATGTTCTGTAAAACTTACCAATAAGGTTGGGAACCAAGAAAAATACAGAAAAATGTGACATTAGCAGTTGTAATGTGTGTGTTCTTCGTAATTTATTCAGTAGCTCCATAATACTTCTAATGAATCTAAAATGTGAAACAGACAGTGGTTCGATTGCCGAATGAATCCGTTCAATAAGTCGGTTCTTTTTAGTGAAAACATACAGCACAACTTGTGTAGTTCAATTTCTCTCGTTTGATTCCGTTTACTCTCTTGAGGCAGTCATTTTTAGTGAATCAAGCACATGAAGATGGTTCTTTTTATAGTGAATAAATTGACTAAGGCCCAATTCCTGAATGAATCACTTTAATGAATCAAATACACAGCGCAACCAGCATAGTCCAATTCCTGAATGAGTGACTCTAATGAGCCGACTCTTTTTAAAGAATTAAACTTATAGCACAACCAGCGTAGTCTGATTTCATAATGAATCACTTTCATGAGACAGGGTCTTTTTTATTGAATCAAACACATAGCGCAACCAGTGTAGTTTGATTCCTGAGCAAATCACTTTAATGAGGTGATCACTTTAATGAGGGAGTTATTTTTAATGAATCAAACATTCAGTGCAACCAGTGTAATTCAAATTCCTGAATGAGTGACTCTAATGAGCCGACTCTTTTTAAAGAATTAAACTTATAGCACAACCAGCGTAGTCTGATTTCATAATGAATCACTTTCATGAGACAGGGTCTTTTTTAGTGAATCAAACACATAGCAACCAGTGTAGTTTGATTCCTGAGCAAATCACTTTAATGAGGTGATTTTTTTTTTTACGATTCCCATCCTTATGTACCAGCATGTACATTACCAGAAAGTTAAATCTTCATACTAATGATATATAATCTATGATAATAGATATATAATATATGATAATGTATTTTTTGCAGTTTCTGTTCACTCTGCCCCAGAAGGAGGGCTATTTATTTTATTTTGGGCCAGTGGGCTGTCATGAACTGCAGGTATAATTATTATTTATTTATATATATATATATATATATATATTTAGTGTCCCAACTTTTTTGGAATCGGGTTTGTAAATTCCACACTGCTGTTGGCATAGATACTGAAATTGGGATATAGATACTGAAATTTTATACCACAATACAGACCTGCTAAAGGACAAAGGGATTGTGCTGATGACTGCTGAGATGGATAGCAAATTTGTGGTAAGTTAAATTAAGTTTCTAAGTACATAAAAACAATCTGTGCTATTTTTAATGTATTTTTGTAAACCTCTTTCAGACTGTCCACCAGGCACAGTGCTTAGCCAATCAGGTGCAGCTGTTTTACGGATTGAAGCTGCTTGAGACTTTCCGATTGGTTGAGACCTTCAACCACCAACCGCAAAGTTTAAACACATGTCTGTGATAGCAGAACTAGAACAGAGTGGTGTTGGACCAGCAGTCACTACAAAATAATACAAAGGCAATAAATATGGTGTTTCCTTATGTGGACTGTCGCCTTGGGAAAGAAACGCTGTGTAACAGTGTATGAAGGCCTGTGAGAGTCTTTGCAGCCAGATGAGAACATATGTGTTGCCTTTCAGTAGATATGAGTTAAATAGACTCACAATAGATATGGCATATGAATATATTTATACATCATGATTATCTGCTACCGTGAATGCAGATTCGGTTCTCATTTGACTCCCAGAAAAAGTCCTGATTAGCATATGGCACGAAATAGGCTACTGTACTATTTTGGTTGTATGATAATTTTGTGCTTAAAAATGCAAAAAGGAAACTTATTTATGCCATAAATATGTTTCCAACAAAATAAAAGTCATATTGTAGATGTTTATGCATCCACTTCTTGCGTAAATGGTGCACTTAGTTCTTCCTTATGTTTAGTATTACTCTAAATGATCGAAATTAGATAGCATTTAAGGTGTTCAGGCCTGTTTACCAAAAATACAGGCGTCTTTCCTCATTCTTTACTGAGATAAACACACCTGTAACCTGGTGAGTGAGATCCACAAATAGATTGAAATACCCTGAGGACCCAAGTAGCATACAGTAATGTTCTTGTATATCCATTGTGGTGTTATTTATAATAAAGCTTCACATTTTGCAGTATTTATGTACCTAATTCTGTGTTTTTGTGTAAGAATTTGAAAACAAAATATGTGGCATGCAAATGATGCTTCAATTTCTCAAAACCAACTTCACTTTTCCGAGTCATTTTGCTGATGACTTTTAATCAACTGGACACATTTTTAGTGGATTCGTAAAGTTCGCCAAAATCAACGAAGTGCTATAAACAGAAGGAAAAAAATCCTTTGTATTTTTCATGTACAGACGACAACGTTGTTACAAGATCTCTGTTCACACTGATCCACGAAAACGAATTCAAAACGCTGTATAATGCATTCCAGGCCAGCAGTTGGCGACGTTGCGAAGAAACATACAGGAACATGTAATACCCATGCGCACTACATCACAGTTGTTTACCAATTCGCGTTTTTGTAGCTCACAGAGATGACAACAGAATCAATTTTAAAAACTTGCACTGTATTTTCAGACCCCCAGAATCTGGCCAAAACGCCAAAAAAAAGTTTTCCGTTTTTAGTTGCAAATGGTAAACGCCTTAATTTTTTACTATGCTATTGTATATATCTATGGTCGATTTTTCTCTGTGACCTTAATTATTTGTAGTAGTAGGCTAATAATATTTTTTTATTAGTAAATAATATTTAATAGTTTAAAACATTTGTAAAAAAAAAAAATATGTACACTTAAAATATGCCTGTATACTTCTTCCTTATTTATTTATGAACTAGAACAGAGTGGTGTTGGACCAGCAGTCACTACAAAATAATACAAAGGCAATAAATATGGTGTTTCCTTATGTGGACTGTTGCCTTGGGAAAGAAACGCTGTGTAACAGTGTATGAAGGCCTGTGAGAGTCTTTGCAGCCAGATGAGAACATATGTGTTGCCTTTCAGTAGATATGAGTTAAATAGACTCACAATAGATATGGCATATGAATATATTTATACATCATGATTATCTGCTACCGTGAATGCAGATTCGGTTCTCATTTGACTCCCAGAAAAAGTCCTGATTAGCATATGGCACGAAATAGGCTACTGTACTATTTTGGTTGTATGATAATTTTGTGCTTAAAAATGCAAAAAGGAAACTTTATGCCATAAAATATGTTTCCAACAAAATAAAAGTCATATTGTAGATGTTTATGCATCCACTTCTTGCGTAAATGGTGCACTTAGTTCTTCCTTATGTTTAGTATTACTCTAAATGATCGAAATTAGATAGCATTTAAGGTGTTCAGGCCTGTTTACCAAAAATACAGGCGTCTTTCCTCATTCTTTACTGAGATAAACACACCTGTAACCTGGTGAGTGAGATCCACAAATAGATTGAAATACCCTGAGGACCCAAGTAGCATACAGTAATGTTCTTGTATATCCATTGTGGTGTTATTTATAATAAAGCTTCACATTTTGCAGTATTTATGTACCTAATTCTGTGTTTTTGTGTAAGAATTTGAAAACAAAATATGTGGCATGCAAATGATGCTTCAATTTCTCAAAACCAACTTCACTTTTCCGAGTCATTTTGCTGATGACTTTTAATCAACTGGACACATTTTTAGTGGATTCGTAAAGTTCGCCAAAATCAACGAAGTGCTATAAACAGAAGGAAAAAAATCCTTTGTATTTTTCATGTACAGACGACAACGTTGTTACAAGATCTCTGTTCACACTGATCCACGAAAACGAATTCAAAACGCTGTATAATGCATTCCAGGCCAGCAGTTGGCGACGTTGCGAAGAAACATACAGGAACATGTAATACCCATGCGCACTACATCACAGTTGTTTACCAATTCGCGTTTTTGTAGCTCACAGAGATGACAACAGAATCAATTTTAAAAACTTGCACTGTATTTTCAGACCCCCAGAATCTGGCCAAAACGCCAAAAAAAAGTTTTCCGTTTTTAGTTGCAAATGGTAAACGCCTTAATTTTTTACTATGCTATTGTATATATCTATGGTCGATTTTTCTCTGTGACCTTAATTATTTGTAGTAGTAGGCTAATAATATTTTTTTATTAGTAAATAATATTTAATAGTTTAAAACATTTGTAAAAAAAAAAATATGTACACTTAAAATATGCCTGTATACTTCTTCCTTATTTATTTATTTACTGACTGATTGATTGATTGATTGATTGACTGACTGACTGATTGATTGATTGACTGACTGACTGATTGATTGATTGATTGATTGACTGACTGATTGATTGACTGATTGATTGACTGATTGATTGATTGATTGATTGACTGACTGATTGATTGACTGATTGATTGACTGATTGATTGATTGATTGATTGACTGACTGACTGATTGATTGATTGACTGATTGATTGACTGATTGATTGATTGATTGGCCGGTTTTATTTTTGGGGGTTGTATTTTGATCTCTAATGCAATGGCATTTCATTTGTAAGTGTGGCTTAAGTGTTTAAATACTTTTTGGAGTCACTGTATGTTCCTAATCTGATTTTAATGTTTACATTCAGCGCGGAATTAGACCGAATTAGAGTAAATTGCGGCCGTTGCTCCACCCTACTACTGTACACACAGCGCTGTCAAATAAACCCGTCAGTAAATCTCCATAAAAGCGCTGTCATTCGCTAATATACGCGATAATACGCACGCAAAAGCAGGCGTTTTGGACGCGTTCACACACAGCGTCGTCAGGTGCTGCAGCGTCCATTAACGCCCACCTAGAAGAGCACCAGACGAGAGCTGCGCTTACATCCGAGGTGAGCTTCTCCATCATATGCCATTCATTGACGGCTGCTTGTCATTTATGGATGTTTGTCGGTGAATGTCGTCCGTCAAGATGCCGTTAATGTCCCCATGACAGTTATGAATGAGCTCGTGTGTTTACATGCTCAAAATAACATCCTGATTATGCAGTGATATTTATGTTTGTGAATGGATATAGCTGACGAATGTCACTTGTAGTTGAACCTGTTATGTTGATTCTGTGATGCTTTAACGGTGCTTTTGCCAAACAAACCACTGTAATGCGAAATGAAGGCTTGAAATTATGCATTGGCATATGCATCATTCAAGACTAGTTTAGATGATACATAGATCACAGCTGGTGGTCTTGTTTTTGTTTTTTTTTATTCATATATTTTTTTATGTTTGACATATATGCTTATTAAAATGTATTTTATTTATTCAATTTTATAATTTAATATAATACATTTTTTATAATTCAGTAACAGGGTGGACACTAGTCTACTGTATCTTGCACATCTATACTGTTGTTTGTAATTTATTTTAGATTTAAAACATAATGTATGTTTATATATATATATACACACACATATGTCGTGAGATTAAAAAAATAATGAAATTAGTAATTTAACTACTTTTATTTAATTAATATAACTAATAAAAATAATACATTAAGATTACTTTATATGATTTATAATTTATATTATTTTAACA